GGGGGCATTTGGGGTGCCGGCTGATTTTGGGGGGGGGGGTTTGCTGGAGAAGGAGTCGACGGAGGATTACAACGTGGCCTGTATCCTCACCCTGCCGCCCTACCAGCGCCGGGGCTACGGCAAACTGCTCATCGAGTTCAGTGAGCGACTCCCCTAAATTTTTCCCCACTGGGGACCCCCCCCTAAATCCCTGGGGACCCCCCTAAATCCCCAGGGACCCCCCCCAAATCACCAGGGACCCTCCAAACCCTCACCAAGGCAGCCCCCCCCAGCCTCCATTGAGAAGCTTCAAAACTGCTCTGATAAACCCTTAAAATTCTCTAGGTTGGGGGGGAATAACCCTCCTGGGCACCCCAAAAATGCTTGGGGGGGGCCCCAAAATTCCCTAGACATAGTCTGAAAACCTTTGCGGGGGGGGGGGAACACCCACTCAGAGACCCCCAAAATACTTTGAGGGGCCCCAAAATCCCTCCCAAAAGGCTCTGAAAACTCTCCCAGGGGCTCAACCCCTCTCTGGGGTGCCCCAAAATGCACCAGGGGACCCCAAAACTCTGTGGGGTAGACCCTGCTGGGGGGGGGACCTCAGAAACCCTTTCAGGGGGCCAAACACTGCTTGGGGGAACCCGAAAATACACCAGGGGACCCCAAAAACCCTTTGTGGGGCAAAGCCTGCCATGAGGGGAGACCCCAAAAACTCTTCCAGGAAGCCAGGCCCCCCTGAGTGGATCCTAAAATACACCAGGGGCCCCAAAATCCCCTCCGGGGGGGTATGGCAAAACCCTGTGGGGAACCCCAAAATCCTCCCCAGGGACCCTGCAGACCCTCCGGGGGGGGGGGGCAACCCCAAACTCCCTCTGTGGGGCAAACCCTGTTGCAGGGCCCTTCTCAGACCAAAGCACCCCCCCCCACGGTACCCCAAAATACACCAGGGGACACCCCCCCCCGCAAAAAACCTTCTGCAGTGCAAAACCTGCCACGGGGCGGGTGAACCCCAAAAAACCCTCCTGGAAGGAAAACTAGTGCCAGGGCCCCCCAAAATACAGCAAAACCCCAAATCCCTTCTGCAGACCTTCCTGGGGGTTGGGGGGGGGGCCCCAACTCTGGCATGACACCCCCCCCCCCCAACCCCCCAAAAAGGCTACGAGCTCTCCAAGGTGGAGGGGAAGACGGGGACCCCCGAGAAGCCGCTGTCGGACCTGGGGCTCCTCTCGTACCGCAGCTACTGGTCCCAGACCATCCTGGAGATCCTGATGGGGCTGAAGGCCGAGGGGGGGGAGCGCCCCCAAATCACCATCAAGTAAGCCCGGACCCCCTCCCTGAGGCTCCACCCCCTCAACTTCCCCAAGTCCTCCCCTAGCACCGGGGGAACTGGCTGCTCCTCCTGGCTCCGCCCACCCTGCCCAAAGCCCCGCCCCTCGCGAGGACACACCTCTCCATGCCCCAAGCCACACCCCACTCCCTTTAGGCCCCACCCCAACTCTTTTAAGCTCCACCCCTTGTTTATCCCAGGAAACAGGGTACACCTCCTGGCTCCGCCCACCTGGCCCAAAGTTCCGCCCACTCCCAGCTGCCACTCTACTCAAAGCCACACCCCTTTTTAAGCTCCACCCCTTTCCCTGCCACAGGACAGCCCACCAGGCCCCACCCTCCTCCCTTAGGCCACACCCCCTGCAAGCAAGCCCCTCCCTTTTCTAATCTAGCACCTGGGACAGGGCAGCTCCCTTAAGCCCCACCTACCCAGCCCTAAGCTCCACCCCAGAAATAAGCTCCACCCCTTTTCCCAGAGACTCCGCCCCCTCCCCTAACCCTTAGGGTTTCCCCACCACAGGGAAAGGGGGATT